CCATGGACACTAGTACGCAAGCGCATATTAAACGACGTTGTAATTTCGTCGAACGAGCTAGACAGGGCCTTCATTTCAGAAAGGAAAAAAAAAAAAATATGTAGCAGGCACAGACCACAGCCGCAAGATTGGCACGATGACCCAGCAACAAAAGTTGGGTAAGGACCGGGTTATCATGCGTAAAGGAATAATGCACCGTGGCATGGGGAAATATCTGCTTGTATTCCAGAACCCCTGTCACCAGTGAAAAAAATCTGAGATGTTTGTTGTACGATTCGGCATTGTGAATAGGACGCGTTTGAAACGTTGACGATATTGGCGTTAGCATGAGATTTGATAAGATTGGTCAGAAATGGAAAAATGGCGTTTCTGCGAAATGGGTACATGTAGTGACGAATTATTGCAAGTACCTAACCGAACCTACTGGAATATTGTGCTATATTGTACTCAGTAATTGACAAGCGGGTCGCATCTCCCCCCTTATGTCGCCCCTAATCGTGTATGTTCACACTCCCCATCTTCCATCGTTCTTGCTCGATTTCAAATGTTCCTTTCAATGGGATTGCCCATTCTTTCTCCCTTCCCACAGGGTACAGAAGGGGATTAGGTCCAAAGGGCAAATCATTGCTAATGTACTAAGGTGGGTCACCTGTTTTCGCTCAACACACCCGCGACCCGCCCAGACCCACTAGTACATCCCTGCTCGCCAGTTACCGTGCAGGATACACTGTACTTGGTACATCAAGGAGTCCCCTGGTACAGTACCGTACCTCCTGTTTTTATGCTTGGCCCTGCCAACCTTCGCTACAGTAACATACAGTAACAATCACTGTACCTTGGAGCTTCGAATGGACTGTGCTCCCTTCCATGTCCCTCTCCTTCCCAGTTAATCACGAGACAATAAATAAGGACCGGCGGCAGCTGCTGTCCTTCCATTAGACTTTTTCCTTCCCACCCTTCCCGTCGTACTCGACTTAAATAACAAGTGTTTTTGTTCTTCCACTTCTCAGAAGTTCAACCACAGAACACTCACGAGACAACGAAGTGTCATTTAATACTACTACTCCAATACCCCCTTTGAGTAGCTAAGTCCATTGTTTAATTTCTTTTTAGTGATACCCATCTTCTTGATACCCAATTAGTTTTTTCTTTCACAACACAATCCCTCAAGATGGCCGAAGAACAGAAGCCCGTCGAGGTCCCTGAGACTACCCCTGCTGTCGCCGAGCCCGTCGCTGAGACGAAGCCCGCTGAAGACAAGCCTGCCGAGACCACTCCCGCTGCTGAGCCTGCTGCCGCTGCTGAGGCTGCCCCCGAGGCCACCGAAGGTACTACCGAAGCTGCCGCCGCTCCAGCTGAGGAGGCCAAGAAGGAAGAGGTGAAGCCCATTGAGGCTGGTACCCTTGAGCACAAGGGAGCCCCTGCCAACTTCCCCAAGTAAGCCTTATTGTTTGAATATCTCAGATGGCCTAGCTAACGAGTACCAGGAACTTGATCTACTCCAAGCACCACTTTTGGTTCGGTACCGAGGCTACCCCCAAGGACAAGCTCGCTACGTATCTGAAGAACGAGAAGGCTACTGAGGTTGCGCACCACGTTGTCGCATGGGCCACCGAGACTGGAAAGGGTCTTTTGTTCTACGGCAAGGAGAGCGACAAGGCCACCCCTACCGGTGCTATCCAATTGGTATGAATAATGCGTGGGTGATTATCGACCATTACTAACGCACATTGCAGGCTGAGGCTTCTGAACCCACCGTCGAGGGTACCCACAAGTTCTCCTTCACTGCCAAGGGTCACAAGCACACTTTCAAGGCACCTACCACTGCCGACCGTGACAACTGGGTTGAGCAACTTAAGCTGAAGATCGCCGAGGCTAAGGAGCTTGCCGCTACCATCACAGAGAGCGAGACCTACAAGCAGACTCTCGAGAGCTTCAAGCCTACTCCTCCCCCTAAGGAGGACAAGCCGGCTGCCGAGGCTGAGGCTCCCAAGGAGGAAGCCAAGGAAGAACCTAAGGAAGAGGACAAGAAGGAGGAGCCTAAAGAGGAGGCTAAGGAAGAAGGCAAGAAAGATTCCAAGCGCCGATCTGCTAGCCGCAAGCGCGCCTCGATCTTCGGCAACCTGCTTAGCAAGAAGGAAGAGGCCAAGAAGGAGACCGCTGAAGACAAGCCCGCGGAGGACAAGCCTGCTGAGACTACTGAGGCTGCCGAACCCGCCGCAGAGACTGCTGCCGCTGCTGAGACCCCCGCTGCCGAGGCTGCCCCTGCTGAGGAGGCTAAGAAGGAGGAGCCCACCAAGCCCACTCCCTCCAAGCGTGCTAGGTATGTAGTAGAAAGTGTCGCGTAGTAGATGGGTGACTAACGTATTATAGTCTTTTCGGTGGTCTTTCCTTCGGCAAGAAGAAGGCTGAATCTGAGTCTGCTCCTACCACTCCTGCTAAGGAGACTGTTGCTGAGGCTCCTGTCGCCGAGAATGCCCCTGTCATTCCTGCTGTTGAGACCACTGAGCCTTTGTCGACTGAGGTTGCTTCTCCCGCTACCGCCCCTACTGAGGCCACTGAGGCTACTCCTGCCACCAACGGTGAGACCAAGGAGGTGAAGAATGAGAAGCGAAAGTCTTCTCTTCCTTTCGGCTTCGGCAGCAAGAAGGAGAAGTCCGCTACTTCCGACGAGGAGGGTGAGAAGGTTAAGTCTCCCCCGTTCTTTTCTAAGCTTCGCCAGACAGTGAAGGGCAAGGGTAAGGCTGATAAGCCTACCGAGGAGTCCAAGGCTGAGGACAAGCCCGCTGAGGGTGCTGAGGCTTCGGAGCCGGCTAAGGAGACAACTGAGGAGTCCGCTGCCGCTCCTGCTACTACTGAGGAGGCTCCTGCGGACAAGCCTGTTGCCGCTGCCCCTGCTCCTGTCACCGCTGCCGCATAGAGTGCGCTTCGGTTTGGCCTGAGGGTCTACCACTAATGTTTTCGTAAAGTGTATCCACGACACTGGGTTTGGTCGGGAACGGATCTGCATTTCAAGATACCCTACAAGACTGGTTCTGAACTGATACCCCCATCTGTTGTCGGTTGTCGATATCCTCCTGCCTTTGGCTAGGAGAGTTGTATTGACGACCTGGAAAGAGATGGCGTACATGATCTTTGTAACTGACGCTTTTTGCATGTCCCGTCTCAATTTGCGCGGAGAATTGCTTTTGTTTTCACATCTTTTCCTAATACTCAGCTGATACCCAGTATACCCCCTGTCCTTTGGTTGATGCGGATCAGAAAATTCCCTGCGATACAGCACACAAACGTTTCATCTTTTCACAGTGACGGAGGGGTTGTGGAATAGGAGTGGCGGAACTGCTCAATGTGTTGAGCTTGGTGAAACCCTCAGACGGATCAGATGTCGTGCAAAGTGTTACACCACATAGGGTTGTACACACTCGCCGGCTGAAGCATTCTCTTAATAGCTAATAGAAACTCATGTGTTCGGCGTTGCTGTGTCCCTTCGTGAGATTTGTTGTGCCAGTGATTCCTAATGCTCCCTTGTCCGGACTGGACCTCACCGAGGATATCGCATCTAGTCGCTTCGCATGGATTGTAGAAAGATTGAGCTTCAGTCTTTGCCGAATCTTAAGTCTCTTGGCCTCTTTATGTTATATTCTTGTGTCATGATTATGTTTCCCATGCAATCTATGACCATTGATGTTTATCCTGTTCCGTCATCAGGATGTTAGTATCTACCTCCGAATCATGCTCGAAGTTCGTTGTGGCCAACTGTTGATCGACTGAGGCCCGCTTTTAGTACCATTGGGCGCATTGTTCGCCTTCGTTATGGCAAATCTCGCTCCTATGTGAAGACCGTTTTGCGCAGACTTGATATCCGATGACTATTGGCTGGAGTGAGAAGTGGGAGGTAGGCGGGTAAGTATGTTCAACGCTTAGAGCACATATTCGTGTTAAAGACTACAAGAATACGCCGTCCTTTGCACATTAGCCATTGATCTGTGAACAAGAGAGTGAATATAGATTTGATACCTCTAATATTACATCTTATTCTCTTCTGTCCTTAGGGAAACGTACGAGAGGCTCATTTCTTAACATTTGAGTTCAATGATATTCTATATAATTCGTTCATGTATGTTCACGTAAGCACTCGTTCTGAAGGGATTTCTGCTCTTATGTGGGAAGCTGGTCCCTCCTAGTTGTCGTTGCTCTCGTGTTTGATTTTCTCCCTGACCTCTCTTCACAGTCAAGCTTTAATGACGATAGGGATTGTACGAGGATATTGGATGTAGTATTGGGAAGAGAACAACTCATAAACATCATCAGTCCCAACCTCATCTTAATTGTGTGTATAGACCCAGTTGGCGTCGCCTCTCTGAGTCATGGAACACTGGGCTCCTATGAGAAGGTCTGCTTTGGATATCAATGCCGCAAGACAACAACCAGCTGCATGAATCACCCCTGCTTTACCTAGGTCAGGTCGTATATGACGATGCCCACGTCTCGTGATATTTCCTATAACGGCGGAGAATGTTGAGGTATATAGTCATCGATGCCCCTATCGTCAAACAAAGTGGTGTAGACTTGCCAAGGCTGCCGACTCATCCGCTTCCAAAATCAGTCCATCATATTTATTGTCATGTAAACCATTCGCCCGGATGTGATAGAGCGTGGCCTTTATCACCTTAGTAGCCGGCCAGCTACTTAGCAAAATCACTGTCACCTAGAAAGATCCAATTCAGGCCTCTCTGTCTTGTCCAGTGATACTCGTCCCATCTTCCCCCTTCATACCCACGGGTATAAAAGGTTCTGTCACGTTTCTCTACAATCAACAATCCAAATCACCACCAAATCAGCCTGTCTACCTATTGATGTGTAACTATTGACTGGTTACATACCTACTCGCACACCATTCATGACCTCCATTCAAGAACCCTTGGAGCATCTATATAAAACCCCTATTCTTCCTTTTACGTCTCTTCTATCATTCCTTGCTACTAAGCACTCGGGCACCAAGACAAGAACAGAAACCAACACAGTAAGAAAAAAAGACCTCACATCAACAAGAAACACCTACTTCTGCAAATTGGCCGATACTACACGATAAACATGTCTACCGAAGCCACCGCGTCTAGCAATTGCGTCTTGTCCAGCAGTGCTAGAATTTTCGCACACCGAACCCGTTCCCTCAGCGAGGCGCCCCTAAGAAGATATAACTTCACCTTCGATACAGGGTTTTTGACAGATGACACCAACTTTGACATAAGCGACTCTGAATTCGAATTGGAATCCGTGGGCAGCTCACCAGAACGAGGATTCCATTCGTCCGACAGACCCAGGACAGCTTACAGGCGCGTCAGACCAGGAAGACTACACCGAATCAATCTTCCCGGCCTGGACACCGCTCACTTTGGTATCAACATACCCGACGAGCAGCTACCACGTAACGAGCCCATCCCAGATGACAGTGTTCTCCCCGAGCTCCCCGAAGAGACACGTACCGTGCTCAATGAATCTGGCGAGCCTATCACATCTTCGTCCTCGGACGAGCGTGAAGCGGCTACCGTATCAGTGGGATTCAGCCATGCTCATCTAGCCAACAGGCCAAGCGGAACAACCCCACTCAGACCCTCGCACACGAGGGTGGATGCTTCTCGGGCCCGATCCGAGGCCGGAACAGAGAGCCGGCTATCCAGGTTCGGGAGCACTAGCGATGGAATTGTTAGAGAATACTACGAGCAGTATGTCCCTAGATCTGCGGGTCCCATTACTATTGGTGCCTCAGAGACTAGTACACAGAATCAGGCAAATTTGACGGGAGCACAGCAGCTGCCCACAGGCAGCGCAGGAAGTGACTGTGGCCGTCCGAACGCTATTCCTGTCTACATCACCATCAAGATCGACTATGATCCCGCTGTACTAGACGTACGGGGCTACGATGTGACAGCTACGCCGCGGAACACACCGGCCAGGGAGGAACGAGGCGAAGAAGGAGATCAGGAGGAAGATGGTCAGGCGGAAGATGGACGGAACGGCGGCTGTAGAATGCATTGAGTGAATTGTTTCTTGTTTGCGTGGTGATGGAGTTGAGAGTTTGAGAATAGCCCTGAAATAGTACCTCTCTTTAATTCAACCTTGCATTATTTTTTTTAACTGCTCGAAGAGTGTACCTTCTAAAATATGGCACCTCGGACTTCGTACTTGCGGTCAACGTTATCTTAGGTGAACTAGATGTGGATAGGCCGAGCGTGAAGTCTCTCCATGCATGTATGAGGCGCGAGTGAAGATGTTGTTTAAAATCCGCCGAGTTTTTATTTAATCTACAGGAGTACACAGATTTCTTCAATAAGCAAGAGGGGAAATTGCAATTAACATATCAAGTTAGGTAGCTAAACAGTTAGAATGAACCTCTCGCCATTGATCAAGTGATGTAAATTCTGGAGGCTGCCTAGGTAGCTATATACTTGTATCCCTTCATGCTTTCCTCATAGGATATATGCGAGATTCGGGCTTCTTGAGGTATCGACGGTGCATATTAGTATTATTCTATTGTAAACCCACAGCTAACTGTTATCAATTTTCGTCATCATCGCGTCGTGGAGGTAGGATCAGCTCCAAAGAAGGCTCATCACTACAAGCCCCAAGCCAGCATAGAGGTATCCCTTCCGCACACTGGCGTAAGCCAACCCAACACCAGAAGGCGTCGGTGTCGCAGTGCCGGACGATTCGCTACCACTTTGCGATGCCGTGCCCGATAAGACCGTAGTTTGAGCCGTACTAGATCCCGACCCAGTCGACCCCGACCCCGAACTAGAAGTAGGTCTTGTCTCAGAAGCCGTCGAGATAGGGAACCCAAACTGGTCCGTCGTGGCAGGCGGCAAGGTCGTGATATCCGGCGTCGGCAGCGTGATCTCCGTCGTCGCGACGGACTTGGTGAGCGCGAAGAAACAGTTCGGCGTGTTCGTCGGTATGAAGTCGCCCACCGTGCCATCATCGCCGAAGCTCGCGCTGGTATACGTGACTTTGAACGGCACCGCGTTGTCCGTATTTGTCGCCGCCAGGCTCGCTAGCGGTGTCGGCGACCCTTGATTACACTCCGTGTTCGCCGAGGGTAGTGGTAGAACGCCTCCTGCTTGGGGCCCGCTTATGCCGCAGCAGACCATGTCGGCTAAATTCACCGAGTGGTTGTCACCCTTCCAGAAGGCGGGTTTCCAAATATCGTGCACCGTGTTGATGATCTCGCCATTGCAGCAAAAGGTCTGGAAGTCGGATTCGTGGGTCCCATTCGTCTCGTTCGCGCATTGGTACTTGGTGCCGTCATAATAAGTTAGTGTTCCGACACACCATGTTTCTATTGGCCCGGTGGGAATGACAGTTGTGATCGAGGACATGGCTGCGGATCTGTTTACGAGGTTCTACTGTATCGTGACTACGTGCTGTATTGAGATCAGGAGCCGAGAAACTGGGGTTTGAGGCTAGGCGATGACCAGCGAGAGTTTATAAGAGTGAGAGGAGAAGTTTTCGATTCCGTTAAGAAAAGGAGAAAAGGTCACGATCATGGTACGCCAGCGGCGTAGGATAGCCTAGCATTTCCTTGGCCCAGGCAACATCGTGAAATATCCACCCTAGTCTAGACTTAGCCTGGTAATTTCGGACTACTACCGAACCTCAGCCCCAGAACCATGGATCGTTTACTCAATGCAATTGGCCACGACTTCGTGTTGTCCTAGCTAGCGTCTGTTCTAGGCGCGAAATACGAGGTTATCTCTACTTCACTCGACTATGTTGGATTGGTTTACAGCAATCCAATAGTGGTGATAGACAATTGAAGTCGATGGAGCTGAAGACGCGCTGAAGCAATGGTAGCCCTACGTTCTGGATTAGCACCCCCTTGCAGCGCGCCTAAGGGGATCAACGGCGTGTCAATCCGGGGTAAATGCTACTAGTAGCACTTGCATAAGCGAAGCTGAGCTCGTAGTGTATATGTAATAGCTTCCAATCCTTCAATTCTCACCTACCTATCGTTTCTGCTTTGCTCCTTTAAATTCATTTGGTCCGTGTTTCGCATTTCGAATCGCGACAGCCGGTCACTTCGGCTTTACAATGATCCTACAATCTAATTCGATACAAACAGCAGGCCAGGATCATAGGTTTCTTGTATGGATTTGGCCCCACCGTCTAAAACTCCAACATCAATATGCATTGAAGTGGCGTTGCGGTATAATGACAACGTATAAATTTCGATAGGCAAGAAGCCCATGGCAAAATGTTGGATTACCAGGAAATTTTCAAGTTTACCGCAAAATCGTATTTTGAGATAACCAGGCTCTACGACTACATGGAACGTGTATCCTAGACTAGACTAATCTCAACTCAATGCGATAGATGAGTATCTAAATTGTTAATCCTGCCGTAGAGTTTGACTCCCAGTGACCTGCTTAATAGCCAAGTGAGAAGGATCATCCGCTACGAGAGGATGCAGCCATTCAATTCAGTCCGCAATATCTATCCTTGTCAACTTGTTGAGCTGATAAAGCGTGACCGAGTTCAAATAAGGCAATCCGCCGCGCCATGGCTTCGATTACGGCGTCCTAATAGCATCCAGTGGCTACTGACGAGCAAGAAAAATGACGAACTGGCGGCTCAATAATCTAAGCCTTATGTCTTTTTCTTGTTCGTTCTGCATTCTGGGCTGTCTCTCGTTCAATACCATTCGCTACCACAAGTAATAAATTCCGCCAATGTCTTGTCCCTCGCCTGTCATCAAGTCTACGGTTCTCGGTGGTCTGCATGGCGGCTGTTCAATGTGCGTCAGCGGTGCTAAAAACTCGTCTCGATAGTTCATTCCCGCTACTGACGCGTCGAGGGGCTCTAGCTTACTAGTTTAGGATCTTGATCAGTACACGTGCATCGATCCCCGATCTATTTCCCCGGAGGCTTGAGATCTGGAGAAATAGATTGAGTCGGTATAAGACCCTTAAAACGCCACGTATAAAGCCATATCAGACTTTTCAGATGGTGGGGGTGCATCATACTTCGAGCAATAATAAAGTCAATAATCGAAAGGCCATTGGCTCTATGTAGCTAGTCAAGTATATCTGACAATTTCCAAAGTATGTAGGGGAGAAGACTACCCTAGCACAAACCTTGGGGGGCCGAGTAACGCATATGGTCATGTTAGAATGTGAATAGACCGCAAATTAGACCGTGATTCTATCGTCACGGCTGACGGCAGCGCACTCCCTAATAACACGATTCGTCATCCCTCATATAATTTTCAGCTAGGACCCCCTTCGAGAGTGTCTGTAGTAGCACTGGCGTAAACCCCCACCAATAGTGCACAAGTGATGCGTGAGCAAAAGCAACATATCGTACAGATGCTAATCAAAACGAACACGTCTGATATGTATGTAGCAAAGCCTGACCATCACAAGAAATCAGGAGGATATAGAAGGATTTGGGGGTTGAGAGCAATATTGGTCACAATTGTTAATTCATGTATCCAACCGCTTGTGGACCATACAGAACTTGAATTGATATTCATATTGTAGATAAGACGCATCTGCGTCCCACGCATAGACCAAAAATAGCAGCCCGTACGTCATGGTACCAGAATTCTAGACGACGGTGAGCTTCGCGACCGAGCCTGTCCTCCATCGTGCCACCGCAACTTCCAAAACACGCGGGCGAGGGTTGGATAGTGACAGCCTTGATTTCGGTATTGTGATGATATGGTCTCATGATTATGGCAAGAATCTTTATGATAGGTAATATTGACTCAGCAGCTGGATTCAACCTGTTTATGGCATGGTACACGGTGATACGTTGAACGATAATAACGGCAGTTGAGAGTCAAAAACGCATGCTACTGAGATTAGAACAGATTACGGAATTATGACTTTCTATGAGCAAATCATGTAAGAACAGAAATTCAAGTGCCACTGGAGTTGTTCGTGTTCCATTAACGCCTAGCCATGCAACCTCAAACCAGCTTTCCCCACCCATGATTACGGTTGCGCTGAAGCACTGCAGCAACCGAACAGCGCTTTCTATTCCTTTCAACTACCCAATAAATTCCGAGAGGCTTCTATCATTAAGTTTTGAGATGGTAAGATTTGTGTGAATTATGCCCTCTGTCGTGTATCTGAGAATAGAATCTTTTAAAGCAGAAACCAGTGATGATAAAGCAAGTAGCACGTGGAGTTTACTCTTCTTCGTCATGTTCGACGAGAGTGATCATTGGCTTGTCACCCAACAGAGCCTTGCCCTTGAGATTTGTGATCTCAATCATGAAGAGGTAACCCATGACACTGGCATTGGAAAGCTCCACGAGTTGGCCAGCGGCGGCAGCAGTGCCTCCTGAGTCTTTGAGTCAGCCGAGCGGACAGGTTTAAATAGCTGAGTAAACAAGCAAATTCCGCTAGAAGATAGATTATGAAGGATATTTTCCATGTATGTAGGTAGGTAGGTAGCAATGGGTCCCACCAGTCGGATCTTTTCTTAATTGCACGTGTGGGTAATATGTTGATGCTACTTGCATCGACTTCTAGCCGCAATTTAGACAGAGATTACTCTGTCAGGCCTAAAATTGAGTAAACTCAGAGTATGGCAGTGTTTTACTGCACTGTCATTGTCTCTAAGCCGCACCCATACTGCAAATTAGGCGACGCAGCTAAACAATTGGGAGTCGGCAAGTTTGTCCCAATGCCCATTGGTAGTTGAGCAGGGAGTAAGCGATCCCTGAGACAACCGATGACGAAGCTAATGCAGAGAAAGGGAAAATACCCGAGATATCTCACAATTTGGTTGATAGAAAAAGCAAGTGATAGGGAAATGCATTTAGGGATCTCAACTTACCAGTAGCAATGATGTCGTCCACTATTAAGCACGACTGCCCAGGTTTGATGGCGTCAGTCTGCACCTGGAACTCGTCCTTGCCATATTCTTTTTTGTATTCAACAGTCCGACAAGCGCCGGGCATCTTGCCCTTCTTTCGAACTGGGACGAATGGTCGGTTGAGCCTCAATGCAAGTGTAGGCCCAAAAAGGAAACCACGAGCTTCCAGACCCACTATGACATCTGGTATCTGGTCGCCAAATCGTTCTCGAATCAGGAGGACCAGTACGTCTAGAAGCGACTCAAATGCCACCGGGTTTTGGAAGATCGGGAGGATGTCGATGAACTTAATACCAGGAATGGGAAAGTCAGGTACGAATCTTAACGCGTCGATAACCAGTTTCTTCGCAGTCTCAAGCTGCT